GAGAAGGAAATAGTTGCTAGAGTCAGAGGTAGGAATTAGTCCATTTCAGGTTTTTCTCTTATACCTCTCCTCTCAAGACTTCGTTATTAAAAAATGTCAACTACAAAAAAAAAGTCAACTACAAGGCAAGAAGGTAATAAATCCTTCATAAACCAATCTAAGTTTAGATAATCAAAACCATTTCTTAGCATGAGCCTGGGCGGTACTGCAAGTTGTGAGTTCTCTTTTAAATATCGAAAGAGGCACTAGCTGGGAAACTCAGTTGGTTAGAGCATCATCCTGATGTGCTAAAGTTACAGGTTTGATCCTGGTCAGGGCATATACAAGAAACAACCAATGAATGCATAAATAAATGGAACAATACATCGATGTTTCTCTCTCTCTCTCTCTCTCAAATCAATATATAAATTTAAAACATATATCAAAAGAGAGGATAAGTATATCTGTTTATTATAGGCCAATGAGATTAAGGGCTTGTTCAAGGCCCATTCCAACCCTAATTAGGAACACAGGCATGAGGAATAAAGCAGGATGAACTTACCAACACAAAAAGGGCTTGATAAGAGCCCCATCAAAAAGAATGATTTGGTTGCTACACCTTGGTGGCTTTGGAAATTTACTTCATCTCTAATTTGGGTGTAAGCCCTGAAGTCTTGTGATGAGAGATGCTGTTTTTAACATCTAGGCACTCTAAATAGTACCTATCACTGAGAAACCAGACACTAAAATCTGCAACTTAGAAGCAAAAGTCAACAGCTGCAAGTAAGAAGCAAAAGTCAACAACCATGCCCCATTCCAAGTTCATTCTAGAGAACTGAATTTGCAGGCAGATAAGCTTTAGAGAGTAAAGACACATACTATGATCAACCTTGACAGAAGCTGGAAGTGAAAACGCCAGGCAAATAGCTCCGAGAAGAATGCCTTGTGAGCACACAAATGCTCAAGCTGTGATTTTTTTACAGCTTTTCTAAAAAAGTTTTTATGATGCTTTGGAAAATAAAAATGTTACTTAAGAAACAAATCCAATCATCCGTGCCCCTTCACCCATACTTTAACAATCATTCTATCAAGGAAGTCTAACAGCTCTCAGTTGTGCCAAAGTCAAAGGTTTAACTTAGAGGAAGTTTAATTTCTTATGGGAGAAAAATATCACTAAGACATTAAATAACTAGGACTGCCCCACTGCAAATAAGGATCATGGATCAAAGTTGTTACAGCATTTCTTATCTTTATACTAATTTAAAGTTTACAAAATGATTTCAAATACATGGCTTCATCTGCACCTCACAAGCCACTCCATTAAGGTAGGTTTTAATATTGCCAATTTTGAGGACACAGTTTAAGTGATTTGACCAAAATCACCCAGCTATTAAGTGGCTTGGCCCTAGGTCTTACAAGTTCAAATCCATTTTTATATTTCCCCAACCCTCATATTTAGCTCTCTCACCAAAGGCTTTATTGATCTTGGAACTGCCCCAAAGACAAAGAAACACTGATATGTTGCTTTATGTTTTCAACACACGGCTGGAGGATCTTGCTCGGGGGACGGGCCATGAAGAGTGTGTGGAACAGCACAGACCCAATAGCACTGAGGCTTCACTTCCTTCCCCTGGAAAATGAGATTCCTCAACATACCATTCAGTATTATTTGTAGAATCAAAGGAAATTACATGTGATAATGTTTTAAAAGCATAAAAACAAATGCTAAGACATTAAAATACATGTATTTGTCAGGAGAGTAAGATTTCATGATTCTTATCCTCAAGAAGGCTGAGCATGGAAGTTAAGCAAGTATGTAAAACAAAACAAACCTACCAAAAAACCTGACTGGTGCCCACAGTGAGTGGAATGTAATGAAAAACTGGTTGCTTGGCGGGGGAACAGGAGGTGGGGAGACACACTTGTGGTTTGTGGAGGTACCAGATACCCTAAACCAGGGTCCTCAAACTTTTTAAACAGGGGGCCAGTTCACTGTCCCTCAGACCGTTGGAGGGCCGGACTATAGTTTTAAAAAAAACTATGAACAAATTCCTATGCACACTGCACATATCTTATTTTGAAGTAAAAAATCAAAACGGGAACAAATACAATATTTGTATTTGCATGTGGCCCTCGGGCCGTAGTTTGAGGACCCCTGGCCTAAACTCTTAGCACCTTCAGACATTTCAAATCACTAAGGAAGGATATAGGGGCCTTGGATAAGAAACTACCGGTATATAACTGAATGGTGCTATGGGCTGAACATGAAAAGAAATAAAATAATCATAGACACATAACCACGCTCAGAACAAATTCTGGAGGGTACCATGAAAGGCTGGAGCTAAACAATCTCCTGAGCCTAGCTATCAGGCTGATCCTGGGGTCTGGCAGCTTCCTGACACTGTGGGCTGTGCCTTCATTTATACACCCTCAAAGAGTGGGTGGGAGCCTGGCTGGGGCTTGGCAGAGGCATAGATGGAAGGCTATGAAGCCAGTAACCTGGTGTTTGGGAGTTGGGAAAGAAATGGAGAGTGATGGGGCCACCAGAAGCCTTCCAGGTTTTACTTCATTCATTCACCCAGTCTGCAAATATTCATCGAGTGCTGACTTTCCCTGGCAGCGTTCTCAACACCGGCAACACAGTGATGAATAAAGACAGCAAGGTCCCTCCCTCAGGACACCAACACGTTGGCGAAAAGAGTCAGACAATAAACAAATGAAAAAAGACAATGATAAATACTATGAAGAAAAAAGCCAGGACATGTGACTAAGTGCCCGTGGGACCACGCTGCACCTTTCTGAAAAGAGAGTATTTAAACTGAGACCTAAATGTCGAATGACAAGAAGAAACAGAGCTGGAGGAAAAGCTTTTCAGGTAGAGCACCAGCAAGTGCAAAGGCCTGGAGGTGGGAACAAGTTTAGCCTATTAAAGGAAAGACTGAAGGGAAGAGGCTATGAGCTCAGGTTAGAGTAGTAGCCAAGGGCCAAATCAGTTAGGGCAGTGAGGGCGAACCTATGACACACGTGTCAGAGGTGACACGCGAACTCATTTTTTTGGTTGATTTTTCTTTGTTAAATGGCATTTAAATATATAAAATAAATATCAAAATATAAGTCTTTGTTTTATTATGGTTGCAAATATCAAAAAATTTCTATATGTGACACAGCACCAGAGTTAAGTTAGGGTTTTTCAAAATGCTGACACGCCGAGCTCAAAAGGTTCGCCATCACTGAGTTAGGGCCTTGTAGGTCCTGGTAATAAGTCTGGATTTAATGCTCAGTAATACAGGAATTCACTGGAATGCAAAACACTGATATGTTGCTTTATGTTTTCAACACACAAGTCTGGTCTGACGGATCAGGAAACAAGTAAGACATTCTTGGAATTCTCTATTAGAATGTTCCATTTTAATAGATTTTCCATTAAAACCCAAGAGGGGTCATGGCTTAATTGGTATTAAAGTGTATACCACTAACACTTTAGCAGGAATCCTCCAGAATGAGAGAAATCTGGAAGGCCAGGAGACAGGAAAGGTAACAATAAGGAAAGTAAGCATGGCAGCCAGCTGGCTCTAATGGCCCCCGGGCTCATCTTCACACCTTCAAAATGCATCTCTATAACCTGGAGTTGACATCCTGAGTCATCTGGGGCCAGGCACATGCACCAGGTGACTTAATCCAAAGGGCTCCTGGACGGCTGCAGAGCACAGCTACCTGCTTGTGGGCTTCATCCTCTGGCTTGTGCCAAGAGGCCACCCTTTCAGCATACACAGCCATGGGCCATCTAGGTAAGAGCAATGCAAGAACCTGAGGGGTGTCAAAGGAAGAATGCCGTAAAAATCCATTTTTCTTGTCTGATCCCATGACTGCTACAACAGGGAGGAAAAAGAGGTCAGTGGAACTCAGCTTGAGTTTGTAGTCCATGCCTCTCCAGCCTTCTGCTTGAAACTAGCCTGGCTAGCTACTGAGAGATCTGATTACTTTCTTCTCTTTTCTTTAACTACCCTTTACTGAATCATTCCTCAGTGGTTTCAGACATTTTTTACCTACATCCACCATCTAGGTCCAGCAAGCTATAATGTCACACGATAATACCTGATCAAGGCAGTTTTTGCTTCCTCTTTAGAAGGGTCCACAAATTGCCTAAAGAAATAAAAACTATCTTGGTGCCCTAGCTACAGTCTGTCTTAGTAGGGAGAGGGTAAGAATATCACAATCACTTCCAATTTTGAGGCAATCAATCAAATACCTTTAACATTTTGGGGGGGGAAAAAAACAGCCAGATCCTATCAGTTTAAGACCAAGAATCAGCAAGAGTAAACACTGGAGAAAAGGAAAACTATCAGAAGCAAAACGACCACCAGATGCTTTGAAGGAGCTGGATCTATTTGCTTTTTCAAAGACACGGATAGAGATGAGAAAAAGCGGCTTCTGTTCCTCACATCACGCTTCTCCCACCCCCGCCCCTCCCCAAACGGATGGGGAGGAGAGCAGGAAAGGAAATCTTTGGCATTCAGAAACTGCAAATTATGTTTCAAAAGCTGTTTCAATCGGAACACACTAACCATTTCTTCTTTTTTTGGACTGCTCACTTAAAAATCAGGATATGGTAGATTTAAAGGGATATTCGAATTCATGCAGTCCATTTCACTCCACTGATGAACAGTCAAGCCTGAAGGTTTTTAGGTAGTGGAAGAGCTAGAAAGGGAACTCAGGTTTCCTGACTCACATTTCCTATCAACTTTTATTATGCATTTTTATATTATAAAATTAAAGTATATTACAGGAAAATAGAAACTTGAAAGTAAGTCACCCATTATCTACTCATCATACTATAACCACTACTCACATTTTGTTCCTTTTATCACATGCTTATAGGCCTTCCCCCCATATTGTTATAATCATTATTGGACTAATATGGAATTCAGGTCCTTTTCATGGAGTGGTTAAAACCAACTCTCAAGAGACCCTGGGACATAAGAATCAAGCTGGTTAACCTCAGATCAGGTCTATTTACCTACCTGGTGCATCAGGTACTTGAAGAGGAATGAAAGGATCAGATACGCTTAGAAGTGGGAGGCTAGAATCCACAGTCTGCCCACCCTTCTTTTTTTCAGCTGGAGTTGGTTGGAGGGGAAGGAAGGGTCAAGGAGAGAGAAAAAAGAGAAAAGCAGAAAATATCAAGTAAATCTAGATGAACTTACTATCTATTAACCCAACAGCTCAAATTAGAGAACAAGTCTAAACTCAGAGGTAGAAAAGGGATGAGTGGATATAATACAGTGTAACAGCAAAGTATGTATGAAATATATAATCTGGTCCTTGCAACATACTCTAAGATGTAATTAATGACAAAACTAGGATATGCACACATCTGAAATTCCACGTTTCCCTTTGTGGAAACCCACGGTGATCTTTTTCAGAATTTGTACAGCAATTACTGTCCCTATTGCACATTTTGGCATGTAAACAAACATTATCTATTTTGTAATCTAGCATATATATAGGTACTTCCTATGTAACCATTACCTTCTTGAGGCTGTTGTATCACCAAATGTCTAATATAGTGCTAGGCAGACAGACAGGAGGAGACAGACTTCTTGCCTCCTGCAAGGTTAGACAACCCCTAATCTCTAGACTGCATCTTACATACTACTGGCATTCATTCTATAGTTGACAAACTTACAGATTTACAGAAATCTATGCACCCTATGGGATATCAGAGTTTGAAGAGATCTTAGGATTTTCTAGCACAATTTTCTTATTTTTCAGAAAAGGAAATAAAGCCCAGAAGAAATTAGCCAGAGGTGCATCAGCAGACCTGGACCAGAACCCAGGTCTCCTAGTTTCTACTTAACCATTTTTTACGATGCATTTTAATATTCAGTTTGTGATGCCCAGCCAGGTGTGGCTCAGTGGTTGGAGCGTTGGCCTGCACACTGAAGGGTCGTGGGTTCAATTCCCAGTCAAGGGCATGTACCTGGGTTGCAGGTTCGATCCCCAGACCCAGTTGGGGCCCATACAGGAGGCAACCAATCAGTGTGTCTCTCTCACATTACTGTTTCTCTCTTTCTTTCCTTCCTTCCCTCCCTTCCAACCTCTAAAAATCAATGGAAAAAATATCCTTGAGTGAGGATTAACAAAACAAACAAAAAATACACAGTTCAGCAGAGTCTCAGGGTGATGTTCCTCAAATTTAGAAATATTTGCTTAAAACATGTCCATGGACTAGATAGAACAAATCCTATATATTACTTCCAGATCATCCTGTCATTTTAATTGAAAGTGACTCTACATCTTTCTTTATCCCTATCTTTTTTATTGGAAATCTCTGGAATAAAGGAAAATATTAAGTTACCACCAGGATTTTGGGCTCATTGGTATGCTAGAGTTATCTGTGAAGTGGAAAACAGTGTGAAGGTGACAAGAGTGAGTTTGTATTTCAGGTGCTTGCCTTACTAACCATTTCCAGCAGAAAACGAAGAAGAGGCAAAAGCATCACTTTGGGTGGATTGAAAGCCTGGGATCAAACTCTCAGCTGAGCCTCCAAGCTTCTCAGGATGTTTGCCTGGAGGGACAAAACACCATTCAGTTCACCCAGCAGAATCACAGAACACATCCCCAGGGCACTTTCTGCACTGACTTCTAGACTTCATTCCTCCTTTTTTTACTGCGTTATGGTGACACCTCAGCCATTCAGAGGTCCTTCTGTAGTCACTACAGCAGCTGAGAGAACAACTGAGAAATGGAAGGAGGTTTTAAGAATCAAAAAAGAGAGCACATCGTTTTGGAAGAGAGAAAGAGTGGCTGCACCACAATGCAAATGTAATTAACACTACTGATCTGTACACTTAAAAATGATTAAGCCCTAGTCAGTTTGGATCAGTGGATAGAGTGTTGGCCTGTAGACTGAAGGGTCCCGGGTTCAATTCCAGTCAGGGGCACATGCCAGGGTTGCAGGCTTGATCCCCAGTAGGGGGCATGCAGGAGGCAGCCAATCAATGGTTCTCTCTCATCATTGATGTTTCTATCTCTCTCTCTCGCCCTTCCTTTCTGAAATCAATAAAATACATATATATATTTAAAATGGTTAAGATGGTAATTTCTGTTATGTACATTTTAACACAATTAAAAATAAAAATAAATAACAGCAAAAGAGATAGCTAGAGCCAAAGCCCCAAAGCCGAAGCACATCACTCAAACAGAATACCTCCAGCCCTCACTCAATCTATTTATTTATATATAGAATAACTGAAAAACTGGTCGCTGTGACGTGTGCTGACCAGGGGGCACATGTGGAACATGGCGGGCATCAGCTGCGGCAGGATGGTGAAGCAGGTGGGCGAGGGGCACCAGACCAAGGCGGGGAGCTGGTCACCGTCATCAGGACGAGCTTCTGGTGGTTACTGAAAATCCTTTGCTCCCACGCACCATGGTCCTGCCAGGTGCTCGCACCTGCTGCTGGCGCCTGGTACAGGTCCTGATCGCTTGGCACCATCAGCGGGTGCAAGCAGTGGCTGCTGGCCCCGATCACCCCTTAGGGCTTCCCCACTGCTCCCTGCTCCTAAGGGGTGATCGGGGTGGCAGCCACCTCTTGCACCCGCTGTTGGTGCTGGCCCTAATCGCTCCACGCCGTCAGCAGGTGCGAGCAGCGCTGGGCTGGCACCATCAGCACGTGGGAGCAGCGGGAGTGGGGCTGCCAGCAGACAGGGGACCGGGGGCTGTGGCAGGAGGGGCCAGGCGGAAGCATGGAAGATGAGACCCGCCCCTGTGCCCACTGCAGCCTTGCGGCCCACGGTTCCTTTCAAAGTGCACAAATTCGTGCACTGGGCCCCTAGTTTTTATAGAATTGTAATGAGTTTAATGATCTGTTGCAGGCAGTTTAGGAAAGCAAATGAGAAGAGGGAGTGATGGAGAGGGCAGTAGTGAGAGGCTGTGAGGGACAGGCACAATGCAGCAGCTTCATGTAAAAGCCAACAGCCGAACAAGAGAGGCAGAAAAGTATTCAAAATAGACACAAGAATTAAAAAAAAAACTTGGGCCTGGCTCAGGTGGTTGGAATTGTCTTGTATACTGAAAGGTGGGGGGTTGGATTCCCGAGCAGGGCACATGCCCAGGTTGCAGTTCGATCTCTGATTGGGGCATGTACTGAAGGCAATCAATCGATGCTTCCCTCACACATCAATGCTTCTTTCTCTCTCTATCTCTCCTCCCCCACCTTCCTTGCTCTAAAATCAATTTTAAAAAACTACCACCAACAACAAAAAACTTATTTTAAAAAATTTAAAAACTTGGGCAGGTCACTTAGTTGAAAGCAAAAATACTATAGTTTTCAAGAGTCCTAAAGGTATTTCTTTTATAGTCTAGAACAATAACTGGCACACATAACAATGAAATAATTTGCCAATGAATCATCAAAGAAAGTTAAATCCTATTCTTTATCTTCTGTTTGAAAAGGCAAGAAAGCAATACAAATTTTAAAAAGATATCTATAAAATAACAGTTAAACTATTAGTCAAATAGTTAAAATGTTTGCTCTAAATTCTCTTGGTTCTGTTCATTCCTTTACCCTGAGATACTCTTTGAACTGTATCATACCGTAGAATTGTTGTTTTCCAAAGTGTGTGTGTGCATGTGTGTCTCCTGCCTTCCAAATTAGACTGTGGGTTTGCAAGCAGAAAGGTACCTTCTATTTATTTGATCTCCTCAGTAATATAGAACTCTGATCATAGTCAAAGATTCAGTTTCTCTATGAGGGCACTCTCTCATGGGTAAGCAGTTATAATTTTCTGGGACAATAAATCCCCTTAGGACAAGGGAACCATCATATTCCTACAAGAAATGACCATGCATGACACTCTCATCCCAATCTATGCTATCCAATCTTTCCTAAAAGTTTTCCCTTCTCCTTGCCACCACCTATAGAAGACTAGGATTTCCTGAGTAGGAAGACTTCAGTGCTCCAGTAAAATACACATTGATTTGTACTCATACTTCAAAATCACATTGTAAGGTATAAAATGTCAAATCACTATATTGTACACCTGAAACTAACATAACCAATACAAGATTGTATACCAACTATACTTGAATTAAAAAAAAAGAAATTAAAAAAAAATCAAACCTTTGTGGGGCCCAATCCTACATTTTTTTTTTTTAGTCCTTACCCAAGGATATTTTTTGCCACTGATTTTAGATTGAATGAAAAGGAGGGGGAGAGCAAGAAACACTGATCAGTTGCTTCCCGCATGTGCCCTGACAGGGGCCCAAACCTGCAACCCAGGTACATGCCCTTGACCAGGAATGAACCCAAGATCCTTCAGTCCATGGGCCAATGCTCTATCCGCTTAGGCACACCAGCCAGGGCCCCAAGTCTACATTTTTACATGTATACTCTAGAATAAGGTTTCAAGAATCACAAAGACACCAATTACTCACCTTCCCCCAGCTTGGCAAAGTCCTTATTTAGCAGTTCTTCAGCTGTGAGTTTGGAGAAATTGTCATCATCAAAGGGATTCCACGTAGAACCTTCTGAAGGATTATAAACGTTTTGCTGGGAAGTCCGAGGAGAGCCTGATGGAGTGGTGGTTGCAGACCTAGGTAAGTTCCCACCCCCACGAAATAAGAAGACATATAAAAGTTGAAAAGGTTCAACCTATTTTCTCTTTGTTTCAAGAGCAAATTCTTTTCTGAGTCAAACCATTATTTTCCACAGTGGTTTTCTAAAAGGGCTTTCCATGGCAACTGGACAGTCGCTATAGATCCCTTTCCACTGTGTAAAATAAATGTTTCCATTTTCTTAATGATTCACTATCTCCCACTACTTCTTTAATCTCTTCCTTAGATTTTTGGTCTCGCCTGCAAGTCCTTTCAATTCACGATTCCAAAGCAACCTATTGTGTAGCTTATGGTGCCCACTGTAACCCATAATAATGGACCCCGGAGGGCTGGGACTGATGCCTGTTCAAGCTGCCTCCCATCTGTTGGATCTAGCATGCATACAACTATGGTCACCTATCACAGTTAAAGAGAAATAAAGACCACTATCTTGTGCTTCTAGGTACCATTACTTAATTTTATTCTAAGTCTCTCTTGATGCCCTTTGCATTTAGCTAATGAGTTAAAGATTTTTAACTTTAGAGTATATGGTTCCAAGAAAGCTGAGGGCCTGAAATTGCATTTACTCCACAAACATTCATTGCAATCTACATCTACTCTATATCAGACCCAGAGCCAGTCACTGGATTTGCAAAGGTTGGTTAAGATATAGTCCTTGTCTTGGAGGAACTCTCAGGCTAAGTCAACTAGATAAGATACTCATATAGACATACGAATAAATAATGATAATACAATGGGATACGTGCACAACAAATTATAAATGACACCAGAGGAAGGTTTAAAGGAGAGGTGGCCTCTGACATTGATCTTGATGAATAGATAAGCACCTCCTTGGTGGACAAGGAGGACAGTGCAGTTAAGGGAGAGGGCCTAGGCCAGTGATGGCGAACCTATGACACACGTGTCAGAGGTGACACGCGAACTCATTTTTTTGGTTGATTTTTCTTTGTTAAATGGCATTTAAATATATAAAAGAAATATAAAAAATATAAATCTTTGTTTTACTATGGTTGCAAATATCAAAAAATTTCTATATGTGACACGGCACCAGAGTTAAGTTAGGGTTTTTCAAAATGCTGACACGCCGAGCTCAAAAGGTTCGCCATCACTGGTCTAAGCTGAACAAAGCGCTTGTGAAGATGGAGAATGACAAGTCCACCAATGTGATGCAATAGGTCTTTGGTCTGTTAACCAATGAGTTCAGATAGTATCCCATAGGCAACCTGAGGGGTGTTGGCGGGAAGGGGCAGGGGGGGGGGGGGCGGCGGGAATGAAAGATTTTCAGCATGAAAACTTGGTCAGATCAAGAGTTTA